GAGGCGGGCAGTGCCATGGCCTCCGGTGCTGAGCTGGCACCGCGTCCCCGCAGCCATGCCGCCGAGCGTCCCTTCGCCTGCAGCGAGTGTGGGAAGAGCTTCCAGCACCGAGGGAACCTGATCACCCACCTGCGGGTGCACACGGGGGAAAAGCCCTTCGCCTGCACCGTCTGCAGCAAGAGCTTCAGCCAGAAGGGCGACCTGATGCGGCACCAGCGCATCCACACGGGCGAGAAGCCGTTTGAGTGCACCGTCTGCGGCAAGAGCTTCTGCTCCAAGCAGACCTTCATCCTGCACCAGCGCATCCACACTGGCGAGAAGCCCTTCTCCTGCACCGAGTGCGGCAAGAGCTTCAACCGCAAGGCCAACTTCATCACCCACCAGAAGATCCACCGCGGCGAGCGCCCCTTCATCTGTGCCGAGTGCGGCAAGGGCTTTTGCGCCAAGAAGACCTTCATCCTCCACCAGAAGATCCACATCGGCGACCGGCCCTTCGGCTGCTCCGAGTGCGGCAAGAGCTTCAGCCGCAATGGTGACCTGACGCGGCACCAGCGCATCCACACCGGTGAGCGCCCCTTCGCCTGCACCGACTGTGGCAAGTGCTTCAGCCACAATGGTGAGCTGATCAAGCACCAGCGCATCCACACTGGCGAGAAGCCCTTCACCTGCACTGAGTGTGGCAAGAGCTTCAACCGCAAGGGCACCCTCATCACCCACCAGCGCATCCACACTGGCGAGCGCCCCTTCATCTGCCCCGAGTGCGGCAAGACCTTCAACCTGAAGACCACGCTGATGAAGCACAAGCGCATCCACACGGGCGAGCGTCCCTTCACCTGCCTGGAGTGCGGGAAGAGCTTCAAGTACAAGGGCAACCTGCGGACCCACCACCTCACCCACACGGTGGAGCGGGTTTACCCCTGCACCGAGTGTGGCAAGATCTTCAGCCACAAGAAGGAGCTGACGGTGCACCAGGGCGTGCACACGGAGGAGAGGATTCTCTCCTGCTACCGGGAGGGAGAGTCCTTCAACCCCTTCCTCCCCGTGCACCCGCTCCTCATGTCCTGCACCCAGCTCCCGGTGCCACTGGAAGCCTTGGCCAAGTACAAGTAGGAGAGCTGGTGGGAGCAGGGAGAGCCCGGTGCCCTGCCTGTGGCACGTCCTTGCAGCTGGAGCGGCGAGAGGAACGAGACCATCCCTACAATCTTAGACCTGCTGCGAGGCCGGTGGCAGATCGGGGCCAGTGGTTGTTGGGCACCACGGTGGAGCCCTGGGACCCTGGGGAGGAGGTGGCAGCTGGGGTGGGAGCAGGGATGCTGCCAGATTGCGGCAGCGCTGGAGAATCCGCCCTGCTCTGGCTGGGGCCAGTGGCACCTCGCGAGGACACACGGTTGGGCTGGGACCCAGAAAAAAAGTAACAGAGAGGAAAATAAAACCCAAGAAAGACAAGTGATGCAAATGAGAATAATTGCTCACCAGCAACCAACAGATGCCCAGCCAGTCCTGAGCAGTTGCCCCCCCACCCTCCCCAGCAGTTTTATTGCTAGCCCTGCTCTGGCTGGGGCCAGTGGCACCTCGCGAGGACACACGGTTGGGCTGGGACCCAGAAAAAAAGTAACAGAGAGGAAAATAAAACCCAAGAAAGACAAGTGATGCAAATGAGAATAATTGCTCACCAGCAACCAACAGATGCCCAGCCAGTCCTGAGCAGTTGCCCCCCCACCCTCCCCAGCAGTTTTATTGCTAAGCATGACGTCATATTGTCTGGAATATCCCTGTGGTCAGTTGGGGTCAGCTGTCCCCACTGTGGTCGCC